CCTTTCTGGAGAGAAAATGAACAATAGCTAATAAATTACATGTGCATTTACCTTTTGAACAAGCAATTCCATTACCAGAAATTTACCCTGAAGATGTATCTCTACAATACATAAATATATATGCACGTTAATTACAGCATTGTTTGTAACTGCAAAATATATGCTCTATAGATAGAATAGTTGAAAAAACTATGCCACCTCCACACAGTGGAGTAATATGAAACTGTAAAAAAGAGGAAAATCTCTCTGAACTGGTAAGAAGTGATTTTTCAAGCTATATTGTTAAATGAAAAAAGCAAATTGCAAAAAAAAAAGTGTGGTATGTTACCTTTTGAATAAAAAAGAAGAAAAAATAAAAATATCATATCTTCTCATCAAAAAGAAATATAGAAAAGATAAACCAAAAACTAATGAAAAGGGTCCCTTATAGAGTAAATTGGAAAAAGATGGTAAGTATGGAGGTTAGGAAAGGGGTAGAAGATATAAATGGGGATTGACGGGTGAGGAGTCACACTTCTCTAAATATATCTTCTTTTGTTTTTTTTTGGAGACAGAGTCTCTATCACCTGGGCTGGAGTGCAGTGGTGTCATCATAGCTCACTGCAAACTCAAACTTCTGGCTCCAGTGATCCTCCTGCCTCAGCCTCTCGAGTAGCTGGGACTACAGGCACATCCCACCACACCCAGCTAATTTTTCTATTTTTTGTAGGGATGGGGTCTTGCTCTTGCTCAGGCTGGTCTCGAAATCCTGGCCTCAAGCAATCCTCCCACCTTGGCCTCCCAAAGTGTTAGGATTACAGGTGTAAGCCACTGCATGAATATATCTTTCTGCATACTTCTGATGTTCAGAACCAAGTTAATGCTTAAGTAAATAAATCGAATCAATAAAGTTGAGGAGGAACCTAAATGGGGAAATCCAAACTGAAACAAGTAACCTAACTGTACTTCAAATAAATAATATAACCATATTAAAGGGAGAAAATAAAAGAAGTAACCCAAGTACTTCTTAAATATAGTAATTCTGACTATACCCTCACAGACTCAAAACAGAAAGAACCAATGTAAGTAAGAGCAGCCAGGTTTGTCACTATCAGAGAATGGAGTGACAAATGAAAGGAAGAAAGTTAAAGCGAACCTGGCAGTGTTAAACTGAAATTTGAGGTATGGACTCACAGTATGGACTCACAGTTTTTATCATACATTAACAGATACAAAGATAAATAGAAACAGAAATATAGATTGTGTGTGTGTGTCTGTGTGTGTAAGACGGGGTGCCTATGTATACATACATATATATATTTCCTAGAGCTGCCGGTGAGAGAGGGCCTACAAGTAATGACATCCCAATACCAATAAACACACCTAGTACCCCAGGTCCTAGTTTTTAAACACTATCATCCTCCAATAAGAATAACAAGGGCTTTACAAAGACATGACTGATTCCAGGTTTGAAGATGGGAAAGTAGAAGATAAACTTAGAATATCTTGTGCCAGAAAGCAAGGAAGTCCTCAAAGAATGAAGGCAACATGTCAAAAGGGCACAGAGCCTCCTCAAAGGGGTTCTCACTGTCCCAATCCGCAACATAAAAAAAATAATGATAGTAATAGAATGAATAAAATAAAATGAATGAATGAAATAAATTGAATTGAGTTTATTCAATTCATTGAACGAAATAAAAATCTGGAGTCCATAGTGATATAAATAAATAAGTAAATAAATAAATGAATGGAGGCAGAGAGAAAGCTTTTTCTAACAGAATTTTGATATTTGTTTGAGAGATGCCAGAGCTGGAAAATCATCAATGCATACTAACAACACTAGTGGATAAACATTTGATGATGGACAGAATATTTACATCATCTCCAGATATCTCAACTGAGATACTGAATAATTACGAAGGGGAGAATGTTAACTTTAGAGAACACTCTGGCATACTCCACCCTAACCAAGTGAGCAGAAATAGAACAAATCAATATGCTGTACCTCCATATAAGATGCA